GCAACTACAAGCATGCATACAACAAAAGCTCCGAAATTCTGTAGCAACTACAAAATAACATGCTGGATGATTTGGATGAGATTAATTCCTTTTATACCAGAAACAAGCTCTAATCCAGTGCTGTTAACCTTCTTTCTCTCCTGTGGCCCACTTAATTACGCCTTGCTGCATCCACACAAACAGTCTTGGGCACACAGACACACAGATGAACTCTTGTTTCTGTGCTGTAGGGTCCACTGCAATCAGTCTAAAGGTGCTCCAGCTAGTGGTCCATTCACTGCCTTTTCCTCTTTTCATGGCTTATGATGGTGACAGTAAAGCACCGCTAGCAACATGTCATGTCAAATATCAGACAATAATATACAGATTTAGTCAGTCTTTTGAAATGTTATGACTGAGGCTATGGCCATTTAGCAGCCTTGTAGAAACTCTAAAGGCCTTGGTACACTGACCCCACATTCCCCAACAAACACCAACTTTCTGATGTTGGTCAGTGGCTTTATATTGGTCCAGCATCAGGGCTGAGACAATAAGCACCTTTAATGAGTCAACTATTTTTTTAGAACTTGTTTTCAGAATAGACTTTTTTCTCTTCCTGGCACTTCTTACTTCAGGCACTCTAAAATTAGCTCCACACTGTGAGCTTATGGAGTTCCCTGGGATAGCTAAAACCCATCCTTGCTTTATAATAGACTTGTGTCTGGTAAGGACAGTCTTCTGAGACTCATTACTGGTTGGAATAGTCTCATTTAGGTATTAGTGTGAATTGGGACGAAGTCCGGAATAATATATATATACATCCTCCAAAAACATATGCCATCATTTTATCCACTACAAGATCATACGCATGTTGTATATATCTCACTACTGACAAAAACTGCTGTTCAACAACTTCTATAAAAGCAATTCTGTAGCAATACCACAAGCCTGATATTCTGTTGAAGAAAATATAGCTACAGTACTTCTTATACATGTGTTGTTTGTTGATTCTGTCACACTGAAGTGCAATGTTCTATATATTTATTATATTACCACCAAGTCTTTTACAGTTCAATATTCAGATTTCCATTTGCACTACAGGGGGCGACAAAGTTCAGTCACAACAAGTGAACATCTCGATAAAATTAAGACAATAAACAAACACTTCCACACCTCAGATGGCATTTTCTAGAGTGGTAACTAGCACCCCAGTGTGATGTGACTCACTCACGCCATGACCATGATGTAACATACTTAAGTAATAGAATGGAAAATTTGTACTTTACTCAAGTATTACTGAAACTAATTATTTGTATTTATAATCAATTACATCTCTAAAAGAAAAAAAAATCCTGTAACTCATTAATGTGTGCATGGACAGATATTGCCCAATAGTCACTGTTCGGCACATACTGTTGAAAAGGCTTAAGACAAGGCAGATTCACCAGTCTGGGTTATACAGAGTGTGATCAGCTTTTCTAAAAGTGAACCAAAAGCATGCCCTCAAATATTGATACATTTTGACTATTACACAAGTATATTTCTGGCTCCAGAATTTCTCACTTCTAACTGAGTAAGTTTTAACAAAGTACCCATTCTTTTCACTTAAGTACAGTTTTTTCTAGGGATGCACCAATATGGGAAATTTGAGCCGATGCCAATATCCCACACTTCTCACAAACATATCTGCAGATGCGAGTACAATAACATTAATAAAATGTAGAAACTGAGACTAATTCTGTCTGGATTAGCATTATGTGAGCAACAGAACATTTAATTCTGTACGGATACAAATACAGTACAATGAATAAAATGCTTTCTGGAGTACAATAAACACATCGACAAATATCGGTTTGAAATATCAGTCTAAACATCTGTTCAATGGTGATCATTTTTAAGCAAATATCTGCTGATACTGAAATGATTCCAATATTATTGAACATCCCTAATTGTTCCATCACTTGCCATGCCTCACAAAGCAACTCTTAGGAAACCAGTAGGACCATAACATGGCTTGTGCTTTGAGCTGAAAAAGACTGAATTTCATCATGTTAATATTACTAATTAGATAATTAATTAATACTTGGGAACATATTAGCTTGCTCTGAAGTTCTAGTTATGGAGAGGCCTATAGGTATACTAAGAAACAATAGATAAAATGAAAAATAGTCTTAAATCATAAACGGTAGACTAATCTTCACATTTTTATGGAAAGTGGTGAAAAGAGGGATAAAATGCCTGTTTTTTCCTTCTCATCTGTTTGACTTTGTCAAAATAATGACATTTTGAGTTAAAATGAACTTTCCACATACTGTCAGAATGAGATACTAACCCCTAAACAAAAGTCATTGTTTCAACATAAGTCAACATAAGTCAATTAAAGAAATGACTTAAGTGAAACATCTGACATATTGCTGCCAGAAAAAATGGCCTTCCATAGTTTTTCTCACTCAATAAGCAAATATCTGCTGATACCAGTATGAGTCCAGCATTATTGTGCATCCCTACTTTTTCCACCACTGGCCACAGCTCACATTATCCATAATTAATGATAAATGATGACAGTGGACCCAACTTTATGCAGAATAAGAACCCATAAAAACAAACTCACACACAGGCAGGACACACCAACCCAACGTCTGGGTTTGCTGGTGTTTGTTGGAGACATGTGGGGTCTGTATGCTCTGGACTTAAAACATCCTCAGGTCAAACAAGTTCCTGAGGTTAAGATGGTAACATATTCACCTCCTCAGAGAAGAAGAGCAAGACTGCTAGGCTGAGTCCGAGCGTACTGCGCTCCACATGTTTATTTTGGTCAGACGCTCTGACCTAAACCTGACTCAGTGCTGTACCTCTGGCCCCATCACAGCAAGCAGAGTGTACGTGTCTGCCCAAACAAAGCACGCAAGACAGAGGCCAAGCGTAGAGGGGTCTGACAAGTGTCCCAGGGCTCCGTCCATCAGCGTCCAGCGCAGGATCAGTCGAGGCAGGCTCGCTCCCTTCTCCGTACGCCAAGAGGCCTGCTCACTCACCTGTGCTTTAACGCGAGTGACTGAGACAACCTGATCGCTCTCTAGAAGCGTGGCCTCCAAGTTGACTCATCTGTCACTGTAATGAACCCCACGCTTTGGACGTTGGGAGCACTCGCAACGGCTTCCACAAAGTCCTCATGAGGGTGCCCACTTAGAACCTTCTGAAATGATCACAAAGATCCACAGAAGCAAAACTGTCAAAGCAGAAGAAAGAGGAGCTTTGACCGGGAGTAACCTTTCACGGATGAGTGATTCATATCATCACTGGAAATCAGTTATTTCAATTTCTTGAAGATAAATGGCTCCACCTAGAGGTTACGCTCCAAATTACAATGTACTTTAACCACTTCCTCACCTGAAATGTCAGACAGGTCTAGATGCCTGAGACATTGCTTTACAAAACTTTTGAGGTAAAACATTTGGTCTAAAATGTATTTTTTAAAAGTCATTCAAGGTGGAAAAGTATGCAGGGCACTGTAAGGCAAAGCAGAGCCCTAATAAAACTTATTTTTAGAGATTTACCACTAATTATTATCATCAACTTTCCATATGAAACTCACATTTTGGCTCACTGGTTTTGGACAGTAAATAAAATGGCTATATTTGCATAGACATTGTGACTCCTGGTTCTCATTACCACTATCATAAAGATGTCTGGGTTGTTAAGTTTCTCTACAATTAACTATTTCACATCAAATCACGCTGCATGACTTTGTTCACATGTTTAGAATTATGTGGAAATTTTTCCCCTTTAAGCAAATAAAGAGCCTGAACCTTCTGGTTGTAGCACAGACCCTGGGAAACAGTTTTTCCTACTGGCATCTCTAACTTCTGTGTTCAGCAAGGATACATGAACCAGGCAGCAGTAGTTGGATGGTTGCAGCTGGCAGCCTGCATCTGTATTTGCAGCTTTGGAAGAACAGAAAGACTGTAAGACGGGTTCCTGACTCGAGGGTCCTCTATTAGCCTGCAGTATTGTTCCAGCTTTCAGTACACTCAGTGATGTAGGACCATTATGTGACTCGTATGTGTTGTATGCTTAGAATGAATGAATGAATGAATGAATGAATGAAGGAATGAATGAATCAGTAATTTAAACTTGGAAATACATCAGCTTGCTCTCACGCACTAGTTATGGATGGGTCTATAAGTCTAATAGAAAGCAGTGACAATCATAAAAGTAATATTAAATCACAAAAGGTAATCACATTTTTATGGAAAGTGGAAAAAGGAAGGGGAAATATACACACACACACACACACACACACACACACACACACACACACATATATATATATATATATATATATATATATATATATATATATATATATATATAATATACTGTAGATGTTGACATACTGCTGCCAGAAACAAAATAAGAAAATCTAACTGATTCTCTCTCAGTCTCAGACCCAATTTCAAAGATGACTGGATGAATGAATCATTGGACAATCAATTAATTTAAACGGAAAGTAAAGATTCGATTTGGTAAACTAAACTGAATTTCTCATCTCCTGGTCAAAATCTTTTCCAGACTAATTTTCATTACTCGTCTGATTTAATAAGCCGGGCTGCTCTGAAGCGGAGCTGTAGAAAGCGGTGATCCTGACCTGCCTAACCGCCACCTCACCTTTAAAGGACTGCTGTGTGCCTTGACACGTCGGTAGGAGGCGTGTGTGCTTTCAACCAAACTTCACAGTAGGGTGTCATCGTCAGTTAAGTCTTTAGCGTTGTGCTAATACCGACAATTAAAATCGGAATGTGTGGTTTCAAAGTACGAAGTTGTCGCTTACAAACAATCTGAAGCATCTGTCCGCTAATATAACTATTAGTTCGAGACGTCTGAACTTTGAGCAACGCTCGAATGAATACATGATTTGTAGATCTGCGTTGCTGGGCTAAGCCAATCAGAACCCGATAGGGGCGTGAACGTTAGGAAACACGCGCTCTTAAGCTGCTATGGGATTGGCTATGGCTCCTGTCACTCAGAGCACTGCCCGAGTGATAACAATCATGTTCGCCTGTAACCAGAACTTTCTACGATGCGACTTGGAGTTATTTTTGTCAGATTATGTAGCTGCTTTTTAACTCGAAAGGTGAGTAGCGTTCAGATATTGCGGTTATTCGGTTTCTGTAAGAAAGGAAACTAGTTAACCCGTTTATGTCAGTTTCATTCTTAGATCTAACGCGGACTGTAGAGACTGTAACAGTTGTGAGTTCCTTAAAATCAAATAGTTGTTATTGATTTACTGCCACTCAACGTGTCTAACCTTGGAGCAACTTTTTAAACTACAGCTGTGTGTAACAGTGTTGTATCCTGGCTTAGCGGGACCACTGCCTGTACAACAGCAACAGAAACAGAAACTGTATGTTCACAGAAAGTCTAATACGCGTCAATGTAATGCTGTAGGTGCCACTTGCTGCATCTGCATCTGTCAGGATTTACCGAACTCCGGCCTCCTGGCTGCGTTTACACAACACACAGTTCTCTGTTACCCTCATGATCTTCAGTCAGTGAGGACTTCAGGCGTGAAAAAATAAACAGAGGCGTTTAACGTTTTATATTTAACAGAAGAGACTTCCAGAGAAGCTGTCAGGTCTTATCAGTTTGCTTTTACCTTTGGTCTGTTAATCAATAAGAGAAGAACGTGGCCACAAAGTACTTCTATTGGGAGAACACAGACTTTCTTATGCATTCTCCTACATCTTGACGCCTAATACTACTACTAATAATAATAATAATCATAATAGTAATAATACAAATAATAATGATTATTTTATTGTTAGTACTATCATTATTATTATTATTATTATTATATAATAATAATAATAATAATAATAATCAAGCAGAGGTCCATATACGTGTGTGCATGCATATATATATATATATATATATATATATATATATATATATATATATATAAATCTGTATGATTCATCTTAAAGGGCAGTTCCACCGATTTTTGAAAATTTCTGCACAATTCAATCACTGAGATGTAAGTACACTCCGAGTGGTTTGATGTGAAATGGTTAATTGTAGAGAAGCTCACTTACTCTAATTCTTTATTGTGGGGGTTATAGGAACCAGAGGTTGCAATGTTGACAACACAAAGAGACGTGTTATTTACTATGAATGCATTTTTTAAAATATGTAAAAATGCACCCTTCCTGATGCACTTAATTCTGCACATGGACAGGTTATACACCATTTGAAAATATGGGCATTCTTTTTTTTCTTTTCCATCTGTAAAATGATTAATATGAGAGGTGTCTAATCCTCCTGCTGAAGGCGCAAGCACTTTCTCCCTTCGTCACTCATGTTTGTTTTGGTGTCGTATAGCAGTCGTTACATGTGTAGCACTGAAGACCACAAAGTTTAGTTCTAGCCCTAGTCGTAAAAAGTGTTTTCTTTGCAGACTATTTTGCTTTTTGTCCTGCATGTACCTCTCCACCATGAATGTGTTTTTAAAATAATATTTTAAGCAAAAAGTTTCGTAAAATCAAACTTTTAGGTCTCAGGCGTCAGGCAAAGTTTGGGTACCTCATTCTGTGAGGTAGCTATTAGAGGCTCGGACGTCTGGTTCCTATCACCACTGCTGCGAGCAGTTCCCTCAGTAAATTTCTCTAGAACAGAGGAATTCAAATTAAACCGTTCTGAATCACTTTGTTTACATCTTAATTGTTTAATTATGCACAAATTTTGAAACATTGATGGAATTCCAATTTAAGTGACTTGTTTAAGAAAGGCAGACCTCTGCATCTGAAGTGCTGGGTCTTTGAATGCTTCACTCTTTGCTTTGCATAATAGGATTCTGTGTTTGTTTCACATTTGTAAAGTGGCCTTCTTATTAAAGTTGTGGAAATGAAAACTCAAGGAAACCATCATCATCTGCTCTTGTTGTTTGCAGCAACAAGGAAAAAGTTTTGGCAGGTCACCTTGGTGTCCAGTCCTGCTCTTTTAGTGTTTATTCACAGCTCCAGCCTACCTGATTCAGCTAATTAACAGCCTGAAGAAACAGCTGAGTATTAGACCCAGGTGTATCAGATTAGGGCTGGAAAGAGGAACACAGGAATTTGTGAATACAGTGCAGCTGAGTTGAATTCACAAAAAGCTAGAAGAAAGTGGGTCAAGTGGGCATTACTCAGTTTTGGGATCAAACAATGAAATGTGCTCATTAGCTGTACTGAACAGTGCGAGAATGAGAACTTCTGCCTGTAGCCCTCTAGGGCTTTACCACTGCTGTAAGAAGTAATGCTCAGTTGGACTCCGAGTTCTAAACCTAGCGTGAGACATCACAGCTTAATTTGGTAAAGCCGAGGAATATACAACCTACAAATCGTAGCTTTTCACCTTACACTTGTGTTGAAGTGTGATTTGAATTAGTAAACACCTTTGTTAGATAGTGTTATAGAGTCTTTTTTGTACTGTAGTCTGCTATCAGCATTCACAGGCTGTTTCAGAAGACTTGGCCATTTTACATGCACTCTAGCTCAGCCTGACAGTGTGAAATGCACCCTTCATTATGCACTTAATTCTGCACATGTACAAGTTTCACACCATTTGAAAATATGAGCATTCCTTTTTTTACTCTTCCATCTTTGTAACAATTAACATGACTGACATCTAATCTTCCCCCTGAAGGTGCGAGCCTTTTCTCCTTTTGTCACTCATGTTTGTTTTGGTGTTGTATAGCGGTCATCACATTTGTAGCACTGAAGACAGTGCCACAAAAAGTCTGTGTCAGACTCGACACGTAGAGCAATCTAAGAGTTTACAAGTCCAAATCCATGTCAAATAAATATTAATATCAGCCTGGCATGCTGTCCTTTGTCAGACCATGTCCACTGACCTCTGCTGATATCATTAGTTAAAAAATGCTTTAAAGATAAGTTGTACTTAAAATGTCATGTCCAAGCAACCGGTCTTAGTATGTAAATAATATGTACTTGAGTTCGATATCCCAGAGAAGCAATTTAAGAAAATGTGAATGAATTTGAATGTGTACTTTTATCTATACATTAAAAGAGAACAAAGTAACAGGCAAAATAATACGTTAGATATCATCACTATCCCAAAAATAAGTGCAACTTATGTAGCTAATTTTTGTCACATTATTTATTAGATTTTCTTATTTGAGAGGTGAGTAGAATGTAGTTTTTCAGTTTCTTTAAAAAGAAAAAAATCCAGCTTTAAACTTCAGTTTTAGAAATACAGTTGTATGCAAAAGTTTGGGCACCCCAGTTAAATTACTTGTTCTGTTCATTTTAATTTTAAAACACATCCTCTACAGAGAACACAAATCTGCACATTTCAATGCACAATTACTGTTTATTTGCTCAATTTGACATTGGGGGGAGAAATAAAACATAAAATATGGCATCAGAAAAAGTTACGGCACATTTTGTGTTTTTACTTTTTTTCCAGTATGCTGAACTCAGCAGATAAATAGAGAATGTGCTATTAAATTTGCTGAAAAAGGCCATATATAAGTTTGTTCTCTGTAGAGGATGTATTTCTTATTTTCACTTTGAAAATCAACAAAACGTGTATTTTGATCAGAGAGAACCGTAGGTTTAACACACACTGTAGAGGCTGTATGAGTTCCTTAAAAACAAACAGCTTGTCACAAATCACAGCTACTCAACGTGTCTACCTTTAGAACAACTTAGACTGCAGCCCTGCCATACAGCACCTGTCAATATTTACTTAAAGATTTACCTAAAGTTACTTAAAAGTGTGAGCCCTTTCACCTTTTGTCACTTGTTGTTTTAGCGTTGTTAAGCTGTCATCACACGTGTAGCACTGCAGAAAGTGCCACAAGAAGTCCTTGTTGGCGTTGGTGGAGTGATGCACGCATTTACATTTATCTCAAACAGTCTTATCAATATCAGCCTGGACCTCTACTTAAATAATGGTAAAGCAGTTAACTTTACAAAAGTCAAAGTTGAAAAATAAAATAGAAGCATGGTTTTGTTAAGACAGCAGTGATATACATCATTTTTGTAAGTTGCCAATGTAGTGTACAGTAAGTGTTAAAATCTTCTCAGCTGCAGGACACATGGTAATGTGTGCATACAGCCAATAACATCATGGCTAGGTGGGTAACCAAACAGGAGGTACACACACAAGGGAAACAAATGAGAAAAAACACATCCAATATGCAAATATCTGACGCAGTGGCCAAGTTTTGCTTGACAAGGCTGCACGGATAAAGCCCACAAGTCAGTGTATTTCATCGAAACAACACAGCTGGCAAAGTTAGATAGAAAGGATTAAAGCCAACAACAATCAGTTTTCACTTTTAAAAGCTTAGTTAGCAAAATATATAACGATTGGTGTGCATGTAAACGTCTTACTTGACAGTTACAAGGAAAGGTACAGAGGGCTATCATTAAACTGCATGGATTGCTTGTGAAGAAGCTGTTCACCACTGTAAGAATCTATGAAACTAAAACAGATCATAAATTATTTTAGTGTGCAGCCAGATAACTTAAAAAGAAATCAATTTGAGCCATTCTTAATTTTTGGGGGAAAAAAAAACTGTTCAACTGTATTCATTAACTGTCATTATGGCCCATTGGGTCAGGGTGCCCAGCTCTGTTCCTCATCTTTGCACCCTCCAAGGTTTAGTTCTAGCCCTAGCACTAATATAACATGATCTATGTAAAGAGGTTGGGAACATGTGAACATTACAAGTAGATGTGTTAAGGTTGGGGCTCGTGGGCTAATAGCCTTGAGCAGCCTTGCTCTAGGGCAGTGGTTTTCCTGCCCGTTTGATCTGGTTCCTGGTCTTGGTATGTACTAGAAAGGTTGGGAAAAATACTTTTGAAAAAGTAGTGATAGCTGAATACACTCTCTAAGTCTATTCAGTGCTGTATTTAGTTCCAATACGTAAAAAAGTAACATATTCAAAATACATTTAGAATACATTTACAATACAATATTTGGAAACACACATGGGGAAAATCTTTTTTTTTCACACTGTTCCTTGCTGTGATTGGTTGGCGTTTTTTTTTGTGAAATGCTAAACGGGTCTTCAGGGCCATCAAGATGGTTCTGCTCTATCGCTATACATTGTGAGTTAGGTTGGAGCAAAAAATATGGACAATATAAGCGGGGGCCCTAAGGACCAGTCAAGAGCTGGTTCATATTCAGCAATTTTAACCATTTCTTTAAAAGCTGAGATTTTGTCTTATGTCTAACTGTAGAGATGCGGCGCGGGGACCCTCTCCCCCAAGCCTTTCAGGCTCCGGTGGACGTACACGCCAGCGAGGATGGGCAGGTGTACATGTTCAGAAGCAAACAGGAAGACCTGGGTGCTTCTTCAGAGGATGAGGAGCTCAATGTCATGGAACTCCGCCCACGGAACCGGGACACTTCCTCCCAGGAGCAAAGCAGCGTGGGAGACCTGTTACTGCTCGAGAGAAAAATCTCACATAAGGACAATCTCAATAAACTGGCCCTACAGTACGGATGCAAGGTATTTTCAATGTCACTTTCTTTTTTTATTACTTTCATTTGCGTGTAATATGTTATATAGAAAAGATGTTAAAAAAACAACTAACAAAAGTATTACCCTATAGGTCTGGCCAATAGAGCGAGGTTATCGAATATTGTCAATGAATGATGTAACCCGATGATGCTTCAAAGACAATAACCGTGTTGGGAAAGAGAACTGACAGAACTAAAGAAGACTAATTTACTGCTTGCTAAATAATATTAAATAATATGTGCAAGTAATGTTTTATTCACTTTTGTAGCCATTACAGTGGGTTATGGTGGGGCCTTAAAATTTGTTAGGCAATGGTAAATTCACTTTTCCGGAGACATTTATAGCTGACTCTGCTATAGCGACAGAAAAGACCTTATTTTTTAAATATGTAAATACGTGGACATTGGCTTTGGAATCATTTAAAGCACATGTTGCAGTCTGAAGTTTCTCCAAGGGGCGCTATTTGTATGAAAGCTGACATGAACCTGCACCAGAAGGAGCTCTTCAATGTTCATGTTTGGAGTAACAAAGAACCAGTAGGACCACATTTAAAGATACTTTCAAAAACAATGAATATAGTGATCTGCATAAAATAATTTAGATTTTTTTTAACTACAAATACCATGCTCAATATTTTTGGGTATTGTCTGGGTCTACTACCTTGGCAATAATGCAATACCCCGTTTGATTTATCCCCTTTTGATGTCAGCACTCATTAGCACTTAAACCTTTTTGTCTGGGTAAAAGACTTTCAATATGTGCTTTTAACAATAGTTTGGAAAAGAATACTGTCAAACACTTTAATGGGTAAAAATAATATTTCACGTAAAAAAAAAACCTGTGCAGGCATTTCTTCTTGCTTAATGAACAGTCAGTTAAGTTACAGGAAAAATCCAGCATCACTCAGGAAAAGGCAGGGCATCCTAAAACTTGCATTATAATGTATTTTTCTTTGTCGCTGTTCAGGTGGCTGACATTAAACGAGTGAACAACCTTCTCAAAGATCAGGATCTGTATGCGCTGAAATCCATCAGAATCCCTGTGAAGAAGCATGGTCTGCTAACAGAGACTAACCCTGAACTGAAGGATCCTCAGAAAAGGCCTTCAAGTCCATCGCCACCACCTCCTGACCAGCTGCAGGACATTTCTGGGGAAGGCCCTTCTGTCAGGCCTCAGGTGCAGGAGTATACGGACTTCCTCAAAGAAGTGGACAATGACATTGAGCGCCTGATCCAAAACACAGAGGCACAGGAGGAGGTGTTTGGAGGCAGCTCTGATGAAGCCAGACACTGGGGCTCAAGAGGCAAGCGTTTGAATGGCTATGGTGCGGACTGGGGCATCCAATGGTGGAACGCTGTGATAGCTATGTTGCTCATTGGTATTGTCTTACCAATTTTCTATGTGGTGTACTTTAAAACTCAAGATAGCGGGGAGTCTGCAGTGGATGGTGGAGTGGCAAATAACACTCTAGCTACCTCAAATAATTCAGGATCAAGCTTCAGTACAGCTAACCCTAACGGTTTGAGTAGGAACCACTTCAACAAACCGTAGACAGAAATGAAATAGACAGTGCAAATACTGCATAGGATGTGTGGCTTTTTAATCCTGTGGTGACACAATCATCAGTACTTTACAGATTTGAGAGTTTAATATCGGTACAAAAGGGCTGTTGAACTATACTAACAGCCAAAATAAACTGAATGAATTCAGTCCTCTTCAGGAGAGCTTCAAGAAACCTTTAGTAATTAACTAACCCAGGACACATAATTACTTATTGGTAATATTATATCATTTACATAAAATACATAGACTTAGTGTGAAAAGACCATCCAAAAATGCTAATATTAAAAAAGTAGGCCTGAAGTGGCAAATTAGCATTATGCAAGTGTAGCCATGCTAACCTTTTGTTTTTTTTTAGTAACAGCTAGTTACTGGAAAGGGAGAAAAACAGAGAGTATTACACTTTCATGTAAATGAAAAGTTCTCCACAGCAAAATGTATTCTTATCTCGTTTTACCATTATGGAAATGCCAAAGAGTAATTTAATGAAAAGACTGACATGAACACTGTCATAGAGAGTAAAGGTATGTTCACATTATTACGGCAAATTTGGTGTGCGGTGCTCTCAACAGCAGCAAAATTTACTACTCCAGCACTCTTGAGGGTGCTTATGAGAAACGTCACTTTGCTATTCCAATGCTACTTGCAGTCAGATATTGTTTTTAACTGAGTATTGTACAGTTCAGGTAATACCGCAATGCATCAGTTGTTTGGTATTCTCCATTTTTTAGTGGGAAGAAATACCCTGTTGTGATTGGCTGCACCCTTCAAGGTCAGCTCACAATGGACTCAAAGTTCAACAAAAATGACTATTAGAAGTGATTATGTGAACATACCATAATTCAGTAGCCAATGCTTAGAATCACTGACAAGTCACCATTGGTGTGATATTATTCATGTGTAGCAGTACATATTTGATTTAGAGCCATTTTTCTCAAAATTTGAAGTGTTTGATGTTTTTTTAATCCCTGATTAGAAAAGCTTTAATGCTGTGTACTACAGCCCTTCATTGGTTTGTTGCTGGTCGCACCGGAAGTCATAGAACTAGAACTGGACAGATTAAGTAGGTCAGTTTGTTTAATTTTCTTTTACTTGTTTTAATTCTAGCCTTTATCTTGTTTGAATGAATGAGATGAATTATGAATAACACTAGTACATTTTAGGTATTTTTCACTGTACTGTGTGACAATGTTATACCAATGGTGCCAAAGAACAGAATTACATGTACTTTTTGTACATGGTTAAGTGCAATAATCTTCATTTAAATGAAAGTATAACAGTATTTCTACGGCTATAAACAGATGACATTAATTCTACGCAGCCTGCAGAGGAAAAGTTGTGCTTTTATTTTATTATTTTTCAAGCAGTGTTCCTAAAGCCCTGTTTTCAGCAAGATCTACAGTAAGTGACTTGAAGCTCCTGCCAATCATGCACAAATAATAAATCCTTCAATCACAAAGACTGCCCGACTGACTAGTGCTTCAATAGTAACAGCGACTAAAGAAATATCTGCATTTAGATCTATGGAAAAGACATCAGTAAGTAATGTTGGAAATAATGGTCGAATGTACACATTCAATGGAGAGCAACTGTTGACGTGACTGAATGTTAATACATGATCTGGTTAGACTGTCAGTAAGAACAGTCTATTTACAACTACATTGAGAGGGATATTCTAGTAAGGTTGCAGTGCATAAACCCCTTATTACAAAAAATGAATGACCATTTGAGAGTTCAGTGATGTAAAGCCCATCTGCACTGGTCTACAAAGATGTGGAGACAGTGATATGATCAGATCTTTCACCATATTCTCCACAGGTGGGAGAGTGCGTGTGTGGCATTCACCAAGAGAAAGATACAGGCATGAATGCTAGACCCCTACAGTAAGGGAGTCTGGGGGCTTGGTTTTGAAGTGGCGGATTTTTTGCTGCTATGTTTTGGTCTTCTTATCCTTTTAAAGAGACGAGTCACTGCAAATATCAAGATGACCACCACCATCACAACACCAATTGAGTGAAATCCTGTATTTTTCATGCAACCTAAAAGCATGTGACAGTATACCTATTATTCATTCATTTATCTAGAACAAATTTCCCTGAGTGATTTCCATTTTATTTTTCTGCAGTTTGAATGTTGTTTTATTGTACTATGCAGGGTTAAGGCTGGAACCGACTGCCGCATTGAATTGGGCACTATACACATTTTCAGGCAGATCTACGAGCTTGAAACGTTTGCCTAATCACATGTCAGAGTGCTGCAGAGGGTAAACAAATGCTACATGCTCTTTTACAAAAGCACTACATGCTCTTTTATTAAGCAAAGTAGAGTAACTAATTTTTAGTTACTAATTTATCTGTTTCCAAAAAGGATGTTTGCAGAACTTGCTTAGAAGCAGTGATTATTTCCAGTAAGGCTGCTGTTCTGCAGCACAAATGCTGTATGTGTGAACGCACAGCATGTGCAAGCTGTAGCAGTCATGCTGCCATATCACTGATGCAGAGGTAGCACATGTGAAACAGCAACTGCCCTGCGTTTCCTGTGAATGTTGAATTTCCAGTTTCAGATATGATCAATATGTGTCTGCAGTCTCAATATGCAGCATATTGTTTTCTAGCCATTTTCAAATCCAAAAACAAATAAAAAAAGAACGTTAGTTTTAGATTCATCTATGAGTCTCACAATACAGTGAAACATTAGCCAAAGACATTAAAGTGCCTCTAAAAGGGTGGACATTAAAAATTATGTTTGAAAGCCTTTGCATTAGTGTTACATAAACTGAAAAACAAAGCTTTTAGGCAAATAACTCCAAATTAACACTTCAGCTGTTCAACAATCTGGGGTCTCCATTGTCATATATTGCACTTCATAATGTACCACATGAGGTCTGGACTGCAGGCAAGCCAGTCTTGCACCTGAACTCTCTAATTACAAAGCCTCACTGTTGTTACACGTGCAAACTATGGCTTGGCATCATCATGCTGAAACAAGCAGCAACATCCCAGAAAATGACTTTATCTAGATGGCAGCATATGTTGCTTCAAAATGCATATGTACCCCTCAGCATTAATGGTACCTTCACAGATGTGCAAGTTACCTAGTAACACACCCCCCTACCATGACAGATGCTGGCTTTTGAAATTTGCATGCATAAAAATCAGGATGGTATTTTTCCTCTTTGGCCTGGAGAACGTGACATTCATTATTTCTGAAGTGTGGACTTATCAGACCACAGCATCCTTTTTCACTTTCTGTCAGTCCATCTCAAATGAGCTTTAGCCCAGAGAAGTTGGTGGCATTTCTGGATGTTGTTAATATACTCCACTTTGTGTAGTAAAGTCTTCACTTGCATTTGTTGGTGCAGCAACATTCACTGACAAGGGTTTTCCAAAATATTCTCGAGCTCATGTGGTTATATTCATTGCAGAAGCATGTCGACTCATTCTCGCTCATAAAGGTCTTGGCCTTTCCTGGATACTCCTTTAGTACTGAAGTACAATTGCCTCGCCTATTTTGTAACAATCCACAATGTTCCTAGTTTTAAGCTGCCCCTGTCACAACTTCTTTGGAATGTGTTGTAGGTATCAACTTCAGAATGTGTGTATATTTTTAAAAAATAATGAAGTTCAAAAGGTAAAAGATGAAATATTTTGTCTTTGTACTGTTTTCATTTAAATAAAGGTCAAAGTGAGTTTACAAACCACTGCTTTCTGTTTTTATTTATATTTCCATCATTATTTCAGAATCATTCTGCCCATCTGTAGCTCTGATTTGAGTATTAATCCTCTAAACTTGCCCCAGTGCAGCGTTAGTGAGCTAGAATCGCTGGTGGGTTAGCCTTGTTGCTAAGCTAACATTAGCCTCTGATGCTAACAAAGATATGAATCAAAAGTAACTAAAGCTAAAAGCTTCACACACAGAAACAGGTTTACCAGCTCTTATTTGAGTCTTTATTGAAAAAACCTGCAACAATGATGCTTCAGTGAGCTGGAATGAACCTGTGCTGTGCTGAATCTGCAGCATGAAAAGCTACAGCAGTAATTTATTTGTTTATTAGATAAATGTGGAAAAATTGACAGTATATATAAAATAAAAGATAAAATAAATACTAACATAATTTATTTATTTAAGATAACCGCTTACTGCACAGTCCAAATATTTTAGTTAGCACAGGCATATTCTGTAGTATCCTGCCATTAACTTGGAGACAGCTAATGCTGGAGTCATTTCATTTCAGCCTTTTAATTCTGTTTACACAGGGTCAGGTACACACATAAAACCATGAAGCAGTGACATTTCAATGCAATGTTTAATGTAGAAATCTGTTGATTTGCTTTTGATATTTTTTAAATCATGATAATACTGTAATATATGATTTTGGATTTTGATGTCAGCTCTAGTTTAAATGCAGACATTTCATGCTTATAACAGGCATACAAATAACATTATTTGTTTATTTTTAATTAACTCGTTCTGTCAAGATTTGAAGTTACCCTTTTAGCTAGTTAGCTTTCTGCACACTTGCACCAGTTATAAAAAGAATATGAAGTGTAAACCAGTTAAAGAGAGTCTGTTAGCAGCAATTGGTTCAACTGGCAGTTTGTAATCTGGCTGTTTATTATGGGTTTATTATCAGCAGGAACAACTGGGCTTATCAAGCAGTAATGAAGCCACATTCTTAGGTTCTTCAAAGCACTGCACTTTCTTGAGATTTATACATGTAACATTGCTGTAACGATAACTTACAAAGTAGGCACACTTTCTTTGACTCTGCTAAAACATTTTTGAACAACACAGATATTTCAGCCATAATCTTGAAAATCAGTGCTCACATGAAAAAAAAGGTGGATTTTTTTTTTTTTTTACAAGAAACGTCATTACAAATTCGAGTGTGACCAAGCCAAGTATGACAGTGCCAGGAAAAACAGAGAGCATGAGGAATTAACACTGAGGTCCAAACAACTCAAAGAGGGAATCCATCTTCCTCTGGTCAACATACTGGTCAAAGTTATGATGATTATGAATAAAGACACAAGGTGAGCCTAAAAGTTTTAGATCGACCAATGAAAAACATTGACTGGTGTTGGAAGTTTATCAAAGGTTATCTGAAAAAGACAGAATTAAATCTAGTGGACTAGCATTTAAGGTAAAAATACTCTCAAGTCAACCATGATAACATGGTATGATGATGATGATATCATGTTAACAGGAACATGAATAGGTATAGAACTCCGTACAGTGTGAGGCAAGTGTGCGAGTTTTCAGCCTCAGTAAAGACAGACAGTTCTGTAACAGGATAGGAAATGGCATTGGACTGTTCATTTAAGTCTCTATGGCATCCAGATGATGCTTCCCATCACAAATGAAGAGCCAGTAAAGGAGCCCAAAACAACATCAAGAGTAATAATGTCAGAAACATAAATACACCAAAATGTTCAGATATCCAAATAACATTCACATTTCATTGTTTATATAAAAAAGTGTACTTTTCTGCATTCTAAATAAAGATCATTGCAATATGCTTTCTATTGAAAATAACGTTCTTTACTGCATTTCATCCATTCTGAACATAGCTCTGGATTTCAAGGTCAACTTGAGTCTTTTTCCTCCATTAAGGTCCAATTTATTCTACCATCAGACAGCATTTAGGTGACCTGGGTATTTGGGCAAAATGTTACAATTTACTCACTAAGATAGACTATTAGCCGCGCCGAATGGCCACATTACCCTTCAGCCCTCTAGAACATTTGGGATTCTCGAGAACGGGGGTGCCCAATCCTGGATCTGCAGATCTAACAACCTGCTCTGGAATTTCTGAATGTTCTAAAATGAAAAACATATATTTTTCTAACTCTCAGTTTTTGAACACAACATTTCTTTCCTTCATAATAAAAGCTCAGAAAATTACATTTTTTTTCACTAATTGTACTGTAAATTGCCTTAAAAATGAATTCATTCAAAAATAATAAAAAAAAAAATTACAGATACTTCTCTTGCACCTCATAAAATTTGTTTTGTCCACAGTTAGACATTACTACCTCCATCCTGTCTGTCCTGACATGCTCCTGACTGCACCCAGAATATTAGTTGCAGAAAATTCAGTGAATGTTTTCTAAAATTTCTGTCTGTGTGCCCCTGCCTGTTCTCCAGGACAGATTTTATATGGACCACTGTCTGTTATTTTGACTATCATAAAAAAGAATTCTTTCTGACACATTTGTATAGTCATATAGACTTAAAATGAATAAGCAGCCAGAGTGTAAAGCATCCCAGGAGGTGACAGCGAAGAGGAATTTCAGTAGCCAGTATGATTAAACAGACACTTTTAACCCCTTAAACCACATGTTCTGCCTCATTAACACTCATCTGATTCCCCTCATCAGCTAATGATCACAGCGGTATGCAGATCACTTAAAAAAAAAAACAAAAGCAGAGCCGGTTTAAGGGGAGTCTGGCCACTTACT